GTTAGTAGCTAATAAAGGCATAAAAAGACAGACATTTATCATTTTTTCTTTAATAGAAATGTTTCTTCTGCCCGTAAAGTGTCCAAACCATGCCGGTTTCAGTTGGATTATTTGTCACAGTTGCTCCGATCAGATCGGTCTCCTCCATTTTGTAGATTATTTATGACTTTTGAATCCACATAAACACATCGGCAAAATCCGGCTTACTTTGAGCATGTGTTTTAAACAGTTTAATCCCTTTGTGAATTGTTTCCACTTGCGCCGTCCTTTAATTTCTTCATACAGCAGGAATTCAAATTAATTAATCCTGAGTCTAATACCCATCAAAGTCACTCCAATAGTGCTCCTTAATTACGCTTTCATCCTCCTTTAACAAAATACTTCACATTCATCCAGTTTGTGACAGTAGTTGTAGCCTTTTAAACTTTAATTACCGCTGTTGCGCCCCCCCTCTTGGGAAAAAAGGTTGGGAGCAACTGATCTAGTTTAATTAACTTAGGAGGTATGCAAGAGAAACAAAAATTAACATCCTTTCATTATTAAGCTGTATCATTATTAAGCCAAACACAACATTAACAAACAAGTACAAACAATTCTTGGAAAATCAATAGATATATTTTCAAAAAAAGTCCTACAGTCCAAGAAAATGTGATTTAAAAAGAATAATAGATTAAAAAAATAAAAATAAAAGCATGTCAGTGCTTATAGGTGCCTTACAAAATGTAAACCTGTTATTAATAAATTAATAAAGACTGTTTATTAGAATTCTACAGAAAATAAATCCAGACAATTTTCCTTGGGCAAGATATTTTAGCCACTTTGAATAAAAGCATCAGCGTAATATCTGAGATAAGCGAAAACCTGTTGATTATATTAATCAGGCTATAGTTAAAACTTTTCTAACCAACCTACTCATTTTGAATGTTTCTTTGAGCCTTAATTGATCTTACTTTTATGATAAATATTATAATGGTCTCTTCAGAGTCAGGAGCATTTGTTTTTGCAATTAAAGTGAAGTTTTTAGCTACCCTCCCCCTGTGGAAGCATCTCTAAGCTCCGCCCCACCTTGAGTGTGACCTGCAGCAGCTTCAGCTCCTGCTCCAGCAGCTGCAGCTCGGGAAACTGTCCTCTGTAATCATCCAGGGAGGAGACCACGGCTGTCAGGGCGTCCTCCAGCCCGCTGTCCACCGGACCCCCGCTCCCCCCGGATGGAGACTCTGCCCCCAGGGTCTCCTCCTCCACCGACACCCACCGCGCCACGTACGTCACGTCCCCGCTCTCTGGGCGTATGTCTGGCTGTGTGCGTGTTTCTGAGTCCACTGGTTCAGAGGAGTGTGTGTCCTGTTGGTCTGTGGCATTGTCAGCCGTTGTGTTCTCATCTGTGGGGGGGGTTCTGCTCTGCACCTCCATCTCTATGTCAGTGATGGAGATCCCGGAGGTGGGAGACACCCCCCCTCCGGACTGGACCACCCTGTCCGTCAGCACGATGCCGTCGGCGCTGCTCTCACTGATGTGGCTCAGGGAGCGGGAGTAGCTGCGGGGGGGGTGGCTGTTGGTCACCCCCCACGCAGCTATCGGAGACCGCTTCCCTGAATCCTCTTCCTCATTGTCAGCTTTTGTCGTCACAGCGACGGACTCCTCTTCCCTGTAAATCAGATCATATCTCAGTTTGTTTTAGTTCAGATAAAACACATATCATTCTTAATTCTTTATTCTATTAGGTTCTCCATTAGCACTAGCAATAGGTATCTTCCTGGGGTACACACACACACACACACACACACACACACACACACACACACACACACACACACACATCCTTTCATCATCAAGCCGTACCATTAAACAACATTAACAAACAGAAACATACAATTCTTGGAAAAATGTTCACAAAAAATAAATCATGGGATTCATGGTCCTTCGTCTCAAGTCCTTGTCTGAAAAAAATCCTGAAATTGTGTAAATATCTATGCAAATGTTTTTCAAAAATAATAAAAAGTAAAAAAGAATAATACATCAAATAATAACAACAAAATAAGTAAACCTATTTGACTGAAAATCTTAATTGTACAGAACCTGAGTGCCGCTGTACCTGCTGCTCGGTGCTGGTCGTGCAGACGTGTGGGGGTCCTCACTGACGGGGCTGATTTTGTGGGTGGAGTTTGGAGTTGAAGAGGAGTCTCTTGGGCAGAATGAGATGTCTGGTTGAGGGGAGGAAGTCCCGCCTACAGCTGGCTGGATGTCTGGTGTCACCACCACCGTCTGGAGAGAGACAGGGACACCATGAGTAACTGACAGTCAATCAATTACTATTACTGTTACGGCGTGAGAGGACGCTGGCGCTGACTGTTCGCCGCTTCTCTGTCCGAAAATCTCGTCTTTCTTTGTGTTAATCTAAGAGTTTCTGACCACTTTCTACTGCTATAGTTTTCTAACTATTCTGTGGCTTTTGTGTTCTGATCTGGATATATTTGTTACACCCGATTGCCATTTTTGACGGACGCTTTGGTTTTCTACCCTGCTACACATGCCATTGTAGCCACCTGCTAACGCTGCTCCATCCATCAAATAACCAGCCCCATTCTTCGTCCTGCCCCTCCCTGTGGGCCCTGACTCTGGTCCTTTAAACCTCCCGATCCTGCCGGTCCCCCCATCTGCTATAAAGGACAGCCTGCAACTGACCTCTCATCCTGTCTGACGGCTGCCAACAGCTCCACTTTCAGCACCGCTGGTCTACAACCATAGCCAGCGCTGTGCTAACGCTAGCATCCTACCGCGGCACTACGATGTTACGATACTCTGTCTCCCAACTTTTTAATCTCAATAACTTTTCTGCGCTTCCTCTAAGCTTGTCTGTCATCAATTGCCTCGGGCTTCTACGCAAACCGAGGTATGTCCATAGAGGTTCCAAACGCAGATTTGTTTACTCCCAGTCCGGAAAATTATCCATAACATCTATCTGGTCGACTAACCGCCATGTCCCACAACTGTCATGTCATCTGAGCGCACGGATTACTCAATATTATACACCCACCACTGGTCGGTTACAATACCAGCTTTACCGAAAACCTGGAGTGGATTCCACTGCCCTCTTCTCAGAGCTGGCCCAAATACCTGGAATGGATTCCACCG